GACAGGGTTTCTCTGTGTAGCTTTGCGCCTTTCCTGGAACTCACTTGGTAGCCCAGGCTGGCCTCGAACTCACAGAGATCCGCCTGGCTCTGCCTCTCGAGTGCTGGGATTAAAGGCGTGCACCACCACCGCCCGGCTTGGTTTGGTTTTTTGAGACAAGGTTTTTCTGTGTAGTTTTGGTGCCTGTCCTGGATCTCACTCTGTAGAGCAGGCTGGCCTCAAACTCACAGAGATCCACCTGGCTTTGCCTCCCAATTGCTGCGATTAAAGGCGTGCTCCACCACTGTCCAGCTTGTTGTTGTTGTTTTAAGTAAATTGTTTCATTGTGTGATATTAAGACATCAAGAAAAATTGAATTTTCTTTGTGGTGGAGAGGAGGAATTCATAGAGAATAGACACCCAGGCTGGAGGCCCTGGGTTTCTCCTCCTAGCCTCAGTTTCCCTGTCTATGAAGCCAGCCTGGTCACTAAGTCTCAGGCTCGTTGGCCCTGTTTCCTCTTCGATAGTCACAGGGAACCCTGTAACCCAAACCTTCCCTGGGCCAAGCTTTGACACATGTCCTCGGCTGATGCTGGCATCTTCCAGCCTCCTCAAGCATGTCTCAGGGAGCATCCCTGACCCCAAAGCTGGCCAAGCTCTGCTTCCCTGAGACTGTGGTGGCTCTCTCTTGGTGTCTTTCTGGCTCTGGTACCTTCTCCCCAGGGAGTCCTGCACCTTCCTAGGCTGGCTTGGGATTCGGTTCCCAGCACCCCACATCTGCCACACTTTTCACTTTTAGGCAACACCAGGAGGTGCTGAGGTGGGCGCAGAGGCCCAGGTCACATTGAAAATGAGCATCAGAGCAGGGCGGTGGTGGCGCACACCTTTAATCCCAGCACTCGGGAGGCAGAGGCAGGCGGATGTGAGTTCAAGGCCAGCCTGGTCTACAGAGCGACTTCCAGGATAGCCATAGCTACACAGAGAAACCCTGTCTGGAAAACCAAACAACAACAACAAGAGCATCAGGACCAAGGACTTCCTAGTCCAGCCTCCCCATCACTTATTTGGATGTTAGCTCTCTCAACTGTGAAGCATTTCTAAGCCTCGGTTTTCCTTTCTGTCTTTAACATAGGGAGAGTAAATGGAATCATGTGTGTTCTGCTTTCATTGCGGCTCTGGGCATGCTGGGAAGTGGATGTATGGCAGCCTCATCTCCAAATGATTAGTTTTTCTAATTGAGAGAGGCTTAGACTAGGAAGTTAGCTCCCAGCTGCGCTGTTACAGGGCTCCTGACTTGCCAGCTCAAGCTGAGACCCCCTGTTTCTGTCCACAGCGGACGATGTGTACCTAGACTCAGAGGAGGAGCGACGGGAATACGTCCTTACCCAGCAGGGCTTCATCTACCAGGGCTCCGCCAAGTTCATCAAGAGTGTGCCTTGGAACTTTGGACAGGTAGGACAGTGGCTGTCCCTCACAGTGACCACAGGCCAGCCTGTGTCTGGGGAGCCTGAGATTTCAAGATGGGAGGGGATTACAGAGTCACCCATTCAATCCTGTTGGAAATGCAGGGTGCCCATGTAGCTGCAGGCCCAGAGAGGTCTAAGGCTTGCCTAAGGTCACACAGCAGAGTCAGCACCCCTGGGCTCAGGATGAGGAAAGGATTAAGAGAGTCTCTGGAGCAGTGAAGCCAGCTGGGGTTCTCAGAAGAGGGGGCAGTGAAAGCCCCTTGACACAGGATGATACTCATCAGATATTCAGTGTGTGCTCAGCTGTGTCAGGAAGTGGGCGAGGACCTCGTTGGGACAATAATTCCTAATGAGAGTCTCTCAGAGATACCTAAAAGTGCAAGTGGCCAAGCCATACCCCTAGCTTTTGATAGGCAGATCTGGGTAGGGCTGGAGTGTATCTTCTCAAGGCATTCCCAGGGATGCTGACATTGCTGTCCAGAGGACATGTGTTTGTGTCAGTCACTGCTCAGTAACAAACAAGCCTACTGCACAAGTGGCTGAAAGTAATAACCATTATCAGGTCACGGCTCCTTACAAATCGAGACCAGTCACGGCAAGGCTGTGGAGGCCGGATTCAGACAACTGGCTGCTATCTGTCCGGTTGTTTCCGGTTCCCAGCCAGGGCTGGTTCTGCAAACCCCAGGTCTCATTTCCTTCATTACCCAGCCTCCCAGAAAACCCCTTGATTCTGTCAAGAAAACTTAGAAAGCAGAACCGTGGCACCCGGCTGCTGGTGCACTGGGGGTCTCCAAGGGTGGAGCTCATCTTATAGCCTCTGGATCAGAGTCTGATGTTCAGACCCTCCTTGGGTGGAGGGAGGGAAGTCCTCCCATATGCCTCAGGGTCACGCTGACCACAGCTTCCTCCCAAGGGATCATAGCAACAAAGATCCCTACCCAGCACAGGCAGCCTGGCTGTGGGAGTAAGTAAGCCGCATCTCCATGACGCATAAACCTCACCCACAAATCAGTCTGGGCTCCCAGGGCTTTGCATTCTCTTCTGAGAAACAGGGTCACGTCCCTGCTCTTCAAGATTCTTCTTTGCAGAAACTTAACAGGGAGGAAGCCTCATTGTCCATGGTGGTCTGGGAGGGCTTCTAGAAGTAGGAAGCATTTGAGCAGGGCTTTGAAGAGCACGTAAGAGTTTGCCACACAAGAGGCTAGCTCCACAGGGAGAACTCAGAGGTGGGAAGACTTATGTCCTGTCTGAGAAGGACGTTGTGGGTAAAGGAACCCACAAGAGGTGAGATGGGGAAAGTCCTGGTTGTCTGGTTGTCAGTCTCTCTGAGCATCAGGCTGAGGGCAGCAGGAGCCACAGCACAGCCATACAGAAGAGCTGTTCTGTGTCATGGAACAAGACTTGGTCCAGAACAGCACAAGATGAAGGAGCGAAGGCAGGAAGGGGAATCCTTGAGGGCTGACCCCCCTTCAGACCTGTGTCCCCCAGATGTCACACCGTTCCCTCCTTGGTCTTCAACAGTTGGTATCCAGGGGATGCCTAGAACCAGCTGGACTCCATCTACTAGTGAGATGGAGGGTGGCTTCCGCAGCTGTGGGGGTGTAGGATAGCTCCCTGGAGAGGCTGGCATCCCAGCTTCCTGTTCGATTGTTTGCTTGGACACAGTTTGAAGATGGGATCCTGGACACCTGTCTGATGCTCTTGGATGTGAACCCCAAGTTCCTGAAGGACCGTGCCCGGGACTGCTCACGCCGCAGCAGTCCTATCTATGTGGGCCGAGTGGTGAGCGGCATGGTGAGTTGGGGGGCGGGGGGTGCTCTGTGTTGGAGAAGATGAGGACTTGGGGCAGAGAGAAGTCTCAGCAAAAGAAATTTAGAAAACTTTACACAAACAAGGTTCCCAATGCAATTCATTCAGCCATTCACCCAGCAAATATTGACCAACAGCCACTAATGTCCGGGGCATTAGGGTAGAGCTGGGTCTAAACTGTGTGTGGTCCCAAATCCCATAATACTCTATTCTCCTGGGTGGGTGAGAGGAGACAGACACTAATGGAGACATGAGGAGTGAGTGCACAGGCATACATCAAGATGCACGTGCTGGGGGGGGGGTACAGGGTGTGTGAGCAGCTGAGCACAGGGTCCCACCACAGGGAGGGGCTGGGGGGCCTCCCTCAGCCGTGGTCCCCAGAGCTGACTGGGAGGAAAAGATACAGAGCCTGTGACGACGGCCTGCGGAGAGGCTGGAGTCGAGTGAGCAGGGGGAGTGGGTGGGTTCGGAAAGAGCTGGTAGATAGGGCCAGAGCGCCCAAGGCCTTATGGGTTGGATTCTATTCTGCAAACAGTGGATGTTTGAGAGTTATGCGGGGTCAGTGTGGGTGTTTGGGAAACACAACATGCCACTTGCGAGCGACTCTGGATTCACAGGGCGGGTTCAGGCTCTGAATCAAATTCCTGGCCGTGGCTTTGCTAGGCCTCCTCTCTGTTTCCTGAGCCCTTGGCTGCACCCCCAGCTCCCCCTGTCACCCCGTCTGTTGCCCTGTGGCCACACTGCATCTGCAATCCTCCATCCTAGGGTGGCCGGACTCTGATCCCTTGCTGTGTGCCTACTCCCTCCCGACCTACCCTCCACCTGGGCCCAGGCTTTGCCTCCCATGATGCTCTGTTGATTGCAGGTCAACTGCAACGATGATCAGGGTGTACTTCTGGGCCGATGGGACAACAATTATGGGGATGGTGTCAGCCCCATGGCCTGGATTGGCAGCGTGGACATCCTGCGGCGCTGGAAGGAACATGGCTGCCAGCAAGTGAAGTACGGGCAGTGCTGGGTGTTTGCCGCTGTGGCCTGCACAGGTAAGCTGCGGCTGGGTAGCCCGGGACCAGTCTCAGCCTCCAGTAGCCTGTGGGGACTCAGGGAGACCTGATTTCAGTACTGTTTCTGCTGTTAAGATACCGTGTGGAGGGCTGAGTTACCATCCATAACCATGCAACAGCTGAGCCATGGAAGGCTAGTCTCACAACCAAAAATATAAGAAGACACTGTGTTGCCTGGAGAATATGGCATCTCGCCATCCCTTTCCTGCCTCTCCTCTTCCCATGGATTCCATACCCTGACCCTTTTCTCTAGGGCCTAAGACACCTCCCCTCCAAGGGTCCTCCTGAAGTCTCCTGGAGATCCCATACCCCAGCCTCCCACCTAGCTGCCTTTGTCTCTGGCCGTGGCCACCTTCCAGGCTAGTATGTTAAGAGACATAGAAACCCTCAGTCAAGTCCACAGAGACCCAGGGGGTAATGCTTAGCCTAACTTTCCAGTCTCTAGATGGACTTGGGCCAGAGAATCAGTGTCCCCAAGCCTCAGTTTCCCCACTTGAGAAATAGAGGCAACAGTGATAAACTGATCACAGGGAGTCCCAAGGCCTGGGACAGTGCCACTCAGCATAGTCTCAAGCCAAGAATGGCTTGGGTTGGGGTCCCAGGCCATCAAGGGTCCCAGGTCATCTTGGTGGCTCCCTGGGTATTTTATCAGTGCCCGGCCCTCAGCAGCACCAACCACACTGACGTTTGTCTTGGAGGACATGTGACACACTGGCTGTCCCATAGTACCTCCCGGTGCTGCTCTGGGCATGGGGCAGAAGAGACCGTCACACCCACGCCTTCTCTGAATCACCACATCCTAGCAAGCTGCTATTATAAGCTCCTCTTCCCCACTGGGAACTGGAAGCTCAGAGAGGAAGTGACTTGCCCAAGGTCACACAGTTAGCTCAGGGCACAGTCTAGCCCTGAACCAGGTATGTGTGGCTCTGGGGAAGCCCCAAGTCCTTAGACTGTGGTGATGAGTTCCCTCGGGACACGTTCTGAGGACAGGAAGGATGCTGACTGACTCCATGAGAGCAAACAGGTGACCCCGAGTCACACTGCATGTGGAACAAGGCCTGAGGTTCACATCAGCTTCAGCTGAGACTGCAGGAATCAGGCAAGAGGTAGCAGGTCACTGCCGTTCCCTCCCCCTCCAAACACCTCTGTGTCTCCTGGCCAGAAGCCAGGGCCATCTGGGAAGCTCTTTCTCTGGCCAATGTAGGGCAAAGGGCACAGCCCACTCTCCCCCTCCCCCTTCAAAGATTCAAAGTCAATCAAAACGAAAAGTGAAACACAAGTCTCATGGCTGGTGCTCACTGTGAACTTTTGTCTGGCTTTATCTTTTAGACATTTATGTTCCCAGCCCGGGAATCTTTCCCTTTTATAGTAAGGGCTGAGTGTGTCTCAGAGTTACTCTGCCTGCCTAGTGGGCCAAGGCCCTCACAAAGAAAAAAAAAAAGAGTTGGGGCTGTAGCTCAGTTGGTAGAACGCTTACCTAACGTATCCGAGACCCTGGTTCGAAACCCACCACCACATAAATGGGTGTTAATAGCGAATGCCTGCAATCCCAGAACACAGGAGACGGAGGCAGGAGGATAAAGAATGGAAATTCAAAGTTCAAGAGTTCAAGGTCATCCTTGACTACATAGCTAGGCCAACCAAGGTTACAGGAGACCCTGTCTCCAAAAAAAAAAAAAAAAAAAATTACAGTGGGGCGGGGCATTCATGATTATTGCCCTCCCCTTTGTATAGAGCCTGCAGAGATGAGCTTAGCCTACCCAGAGCACTTAGCACCTTGCTCCACCCCCTGCTGTTCCTGGCCAGTTCTGACCTCCCTCATCATCTGCCCTTTGCTCCCAGGTCTTCCAGGCTAGAGGGGTACTAGAGGTCAGTGTGGCTGGGGTGAAGTGTGCAAGGAGATGTTCAGGAATCAGGGCCACAGCAGGGATCTGGCTTTGATGTCCATGCTGTGGGGAGCCACTGAAGATTTTACTTGTGTTTTAGAGCAATAAGAGAGAAACATAGTGGGCATGGGGTGACCAGCCAGGTGGGCATCATGGCCGGGCAAGAATACCTGGTGGATAATCTCACGGCCTGGTCAGTGGGCCCATCGTCCCCTGGGGTGCCGATGGGCCTATGGAGGCCTGGGCTGGGTGGGGCAGCTTTGCCCAGGGCCTGAGCAGCAATGTGCACCATTCTTCATCTCCCCACCTTCCAACCTCCAGTGCTGCGGTGCCTTGGCATCCCTACCAGAGTGGTGACCAACTACAACTCAGCCCACGACCAGAACAGCAACCTGCTCATCGAGTACTTCCGTAACGAGTTCGGGGAGCTGGAGAGCGGCAAGAGCGAGATGATCTGGTGAGGGGCCTGCGGGGAGGCCGGGAGGGGAACCCCGCAAAGCCTCCTGGGACAGGCCGCAGCTGAACTGGACTTCAGTTGCTGAGCAGGAATGGGCAAGGGGACTGGGCTGGAGAAAGCTGGGTGGGGGCCGAGAGGCAGGAAGCCCACCATAGGCAGCCCTGGAAGGGTCGGCAGGAAGGACTGGAGGGGGTGGGGGGGGAATGTGAGTTGGGATCCTGGCTGGCCTCCAGGACTACTCTCAGCTTCAGAGTGGGAGAGGACTGAGCCATCCCCATAGACCAGGGCTGGAGCAGGGAGCTGCGGCTGGGGTCCTCAAGGGGGTGGAGAGGGGCCTGGACCAGGCAAGGACGAAGGGTAGGAAAGGAGCTAGAGTCAAGGAAGGAGAGGTTAGCCAGTGAGACCTGGAGGTGCTGAAAGGGCCCCAGAGATTGTGGAAGATCAGAGGACAAGGAGTCCCCACTAAGGAACTTGCTATTGAGACAGATCCAGGGGAGCCCAGAGAGGTGGGTTCAGGGCTTCTGGTCTCCCATAGGCCATGGTGAGGGTCTGTAGGAAGTGAGAGGAATGCTGTCTTCTGCCTCTGTCCCCAACTAGGAACTTCCACTGCTGGGTGGAGTCCTGGATGACCAGACCGGACCTAGAACCAGGCTACGAGGGGTGGCAGGCCATTGACCCCACACCGCAGGAGAAGAGCGAAGGTGAGGAGAGACAGCGTTCCCTAGGGAGCTGGGATGAGGGAGCAGCAGTGTGGGGGGGCTGAGAGACCAACCCGAGGCAGCAATGGTGTGGCAGTACTTCATCTGGGTTCGTAGTGTGCTTCTCTACCATCTAGAAAGGAGGAGCACTTCTTGTCCAGGAGGAAAGTGGAAGCAAGCACAAAGGAAAGGAAACATCTTCACCCTCTCCCGAAATAGCATCGTCAATGGCTTTCAGCAATTCCAGATGTGATATCTGTACATGTGAGAGAGACAGACAGACAGCACCAAGGCAAGGTCTGACAAAGCACATGGACATCCCCTCAGAATATTTTTAAATACACAGAATCCAAGGGATACAAAGAACCTCAAAGTTCTAGAAAGTTCTAGAAAAACCCCTTTATAGCATAGTAACACGGAGCAAGTTCCAGTGCCGGGGCCGGTGTGTGACGGCTCCTGCTATCTGGGACAGCTGCAAGGGGATGAGGAACGTCTCTGGTTCTTTTTGGTGGCAGTGCCCCTGTGCTTTGTCACTTGATTTTGTCATTAGAGGATAAGCTGCCAACGGTCAGTAAGTTAAAGATGTCATTTTTCTGCTTCTAAAGTCACTGGACCCTTAGGCTCTGCTGGAAGCTGGGCAGGGGCTATGGAGCTTGTGCCAGTTAGGTCGCCTCTTTGTAGCCTTGTCCGTATCCCAGGGTGACATTCCTGTGATTTCAGTTTTCATTTGCTGCGACAATGTCCCATCTCAGGACATGCCAGGACATCCCCACCCGTCTCCAGCCCCTAACACTGTAGGTGTGGACAGTGTCGGGCAATTTTACCTTTGTAAACCCAGATCTCACGTTCCGCATCCCCGAGGCCAAGCTGTCACAGGTGTTGATTTCCACTCAACGTGCTCAGGTGGCGGAGGCAAGGCCTGGCCTCCTGATGTTCTTAAGATGCCCTGGGGTACATTTCTGTTTGACTTATCAAAGACTGTGGAGCCTTATACAGAGAACTTGACCTCTGTGGTGCATGGACCATCATTAGGCGGGTGCAGATAAAACTCCAGAGCAAAATGCAGCTTGGAGAAGTGGCTGACTTGCCCAAAGTCACACAGCTAACAGATGTTGAATGCCAGCATCTAGTTCTGGAGTCTGTATCCTGAATCCTTATCCCACGTGCCTTCTGGGAATGGCTTCCCTGGTCAATGAGTTGTCTGTTCCCTAGAGCTTCTGCTCCACACAGGACAATCAGAGAGAGGTCTGGTGTCACCCTTTGTGTAGCTATGCCCATCCCTCCCTCTTATCCCAAACAGGGACATACTGCTGTGGCCCAGTCTCAGTGCGGGCCATCAAGGAGGGTGACCTGAGCACCAAGTACGATGCCCCCTTTGTGTTCGCCGAGGTCAACGCTGACGTGGTGGACTGGATCCGGCAGGAAGATGGGTCTCTGCACAAATCCATCAACCACTCCTTGATCGTGGGGCAGAAGATCAGCACTAAGAGCGTGGGCCGTGACGAGCGGGAGGACATCACCCACACCTACAAGTACCCAGAAGGTAGATGCCCACATCCGCAGGGCCTTTAACCTAGTCTTGCAGATCAGCAGCTGGCTTTACCAGCCTGTCAGCCTTGTGTGTGCATGTGTGTTACATTTGGCAGCCTATGTGTGTCAGTGACCCATGTGTCATAGTCTGTCTTAAGAAACTCCTCAAGAACAGGTGTAGACATTCCAAGTATAGTCGTAAGGGGCGAATTGTCTAGAAAAATCATTCAACAAAAAGATTTCGTCTGAGCTGGACACAGAGGTACATGCCTGTAATCTCAACTGCTTGGGAAGCTAAGACAGGAGAATAATGAGTTCGAGACTAACACAGTGAGGTCCTTTATCTTTTTTTATAAATGATTTTTTATTTTTATTTCATATGCATTGCTGTTTTGCCTACATGCATGTCTGCATGGGGGCCCCAGCTCCCCTGGAACAGAAGTTACAGACAGTTGTGAGCTGGCCATGTGGGTGCTGGGAATTGAACCCAGGTCCTCTTGAAGAGCAGTGAGTGCTCTTAACCACTGAGCCATCTCTCCAACCCTGAGGTCCTTTATCTTTAAAAAAAAAAAGGAATTTGGTTTGGAGAAAGAAAGAGAGACAGAATGTGGTGTATGTGTGCATCCATGTGGACATATGTATATGCACATGTACATACATGTATACATTTGGAGGCCAGAGATGATGTTAGTCTCCTCCTCTATTGCTCTCCCTTTTTTTAAAATATGTATTTTATTTTTTATTCATGTGAATTTTTGTGTGTGTGTCCCCAGGGAGTCCAGAAGAGAGTGCTGAAGCCTCTCCAGCTGGAGTTATAGACAGTTGTAGGTTCACTGATGTGGGTGCTGGGAACTGAACTAAGGTCTCCTGGCAGAACAGGACGTGCTCTTAGCCTCTGAGCATCTTTCCAGCCTCACCTTATTATTTGAGTCAGTCTCTCACTGAACCCAGAGCTCACCAGTTGGCTAAACTGGCTGGCTAGTGAACGATGGGGAGCCTCCTATCTCTAGCTCCCCAGCACTGGGGTTACTGACATGTGCTACCATGCCTGGCTCTTACATGGTGCTAGGGATCTGAAGTGGGTCCGCAGCAGGCACGGACTGACCCATGCCCCCATCCTTGTCCCCCTGGTTTGTAAGCCTCACCTTTTCATTGACTTGACTCTCAATAAAACTGGAGAGCACAGTTACTGAGTAGGAGAGACGTAGATCTCAGGAGGAAAACTGATCATGTCCGTGTTGTGTGTTACGTTGTTAATGGGGTGTGTCAGGGCAGGGTCTTTAGCTATACACAGACCCCTTCCCCACAATTCTGTGCTAGGAGGAGGAAGTTGTATCTTACTCTTCACAACTGAACTCCTATACTACCCTCAGGATCCAGCCTTAACAACCCCTCCCCCGAGAAAGCTTTTCCTACCTCTCCTTCCTCCGTTATTTTCCATTTTTAAAAGATTTATTTATGTGTATGGTCGTCTGCATATATGTACATGTACCATATGCATGTCTGGTGCCCATGGAGGCCAGAAGAGGGGGTCGGATTCCACGAAACTGGAGTTACCAACGGTTTGAGGCACCGTGTGGGTGCTGGCACTTTGCAGGTTCTGGGAACCAAACCATGGTTCTTTGTAAGAGTAGCAGGTACTCTTAGTCGCTGAGCTATCCTGTCAGCCCCACATCTGCTTTTCTGTCAGCACATCAGCCCTGAGCTTTTTGAAAGCCAGAGAAAGCATGTTTTCTTGTCTTCTCCTTTCCAGTTAGAGCATGTCCAGATAGCACTAATCCTCAGGCAGCCTTGGACTCAGTGGGGGCCAGGCCAAAGCAAGGATTGCGATATTTCAGTCACCTCTGTAAGTGTCATGGAGGCTGGCACACAGCGAGACTTGGGAAACTTCTGTCAGACTGAGTGAAATGGTGGATGCGCCCAGTCAGCCTTGCCAAGCCTTTTCCTTACTGATTCTCCATCGGTGAGAGAAAGATGCTGCCCTCTGGGTGGGATTGAACCTGCTACTATCTGGTTTCCAGGAATGCTCCTCATGGCCTCTCTGGACTGCAAGCTCTCCTGGCATGGACACACTGTAACACTGGTCTGTGTCTAGTCAAAGACCCTGCCCTGACACACCCCATTAACAACATAACACACAACACGGACATGATCAGTTTTCCTCCTGAGTCCGTGGCTCTTCTACTCAGCAGCTGTGCGCACCAGATTTACTGAGAGTCAAGTCAATGAAAAAGTGAGGCTTGCAAGCCAGGGGGACAAGGATGGGACTGCTCGGAGTCACCAGGACTCTGGAAAGCCAGCTTGCCCCATCCCAACCCTCTCCCACGGATCCTTGCCACAGGTAAAATCAGAGTCCTCTTCCCTATTGTACAGGGTCGCCGGAGGAGAGGGAAGCCTTCACCAGGGCCAACCACCTGAACAAACTGGCCGAGAAGGAGGAGACGGGGGTGGCCATGCGGATCCGCGTGGGCGAGAGCATGAGCATGGGCAGCGACTTTGACGTGTTCGCCCACATCGGCAATGACACCTCCGAGAGCCGCGACTGTCGTCTCCTGCTCTGCGCCCGCACTGTCAGCTACAACGGTGTGCTGGGGCCCGAGTGTGGCTCTGAGAACCTCAGCCTGACCCTGGATCCCTTCTCTGGTAAGGCTGTGCCTGCCCAGAGCATCCAGTACCTCACACGTGCATCTCACCTCCCAGACCCCTGCCTGGCATCACCAGGGCCAAGCCCCCTGCTAAGCTCTTTCTTGGTACCATGGTGTTTAAGTGTGTGTGTGTGTGTGTGTGTGTGTGTGTGTGTGTGTGTGTGTGTGTGTGTCCAGAAGGCACCATAAGTATCATCCCTCAGGTACCATCCACCTTTTTTTTTGTATGACAGGCTCTCTCACTGGCCAGCTAGTCCCAGAGGTCTGCTTGTCCCCTCCTCCATTGCGATTACAAGCCTGTCTTTTTTTTTTTTTTTCCACTTGTGTTCATTCCAGGGTTGGAACTCAGGTTCTCATGCTCACAAAGCAAGCACTTTATTGACTGAGTGGTCTCCCCAGCCTCCCACCATGCTTAATTCTTATAGCGCAAAGAGAAGTGGGAGCCGGCATGATGGAACACACCTGTAATCCCAGTTCTCTGGAGGCTGAGGCAGGGAGATTGAGAGTCTGAGGCTAGCCTGGCCTACATAGTGAGACCTTGCCTCAAAAAAAAAAAGTATGTGTATGGGGGGTGGTGTAGATTCTTACATTGCACCCATTTTCTAGATGAGGAGACAGAGGCACAGAGCAGTCAAGCCAGGGGTTTGAGCCTGCCTTGTTTCATGGCATCTTCCCACGACCCTGTTGGCCTTCCCAGATCCTGTGCTCCTCTGTCACAAGCTAAGTCCCTTCCTGGTGTTCTCCTAAAATTGTTCTGGGCCCTGAGGTCACACAGTGAGCTAGCACAGTGCCAGGACACAGTCCAGCTCCACAGCCCAGCCATCACCGGCCAGTGTGGATTTCGTGTACCGTTGTACTGTCAGCACTAGGTAAAGGAGAGCCACGTGACCTGCCTAGAGAAGGGGCCGCCCAAGCTGTTGCTCCCCTGCTCCCACTCCTGCATGCAGACAGAGTACTCCAGGCCCTTCACCCGCACTGTCCTAGCCCAGCTCTCCTGGGCAGACAGGCCTGTGTTTGGGGCCAGCTCTTGACTCTTCTCTCCCGGGCCTGGAAAATCCCCTTAGCCCCAGGCTGGGGTCCCAGAACTGAACTGTTGAAAGATGCATTCTGAAGCCAGCTGGACTCACGTGGCATTTGCCTCTGCCGCCTTCACGGTGCACAATGCACAGACTGGCAAGGTGACCATGCCCGTCACGTGAGGCAGCAGCACACTCACCTGATGGACAACTTTGGGGACTCAGAGCTGATGTGGAGTCACCGTGGCCAGGACCCGGTGCCATGCTTCCGCTTCAGTGTGAGACCCAGCTCACCACTGTGGTGACACGAGGCAGTATCTGCTCTGCTCAGGGTCTCTCTGCCACCTTGATGGCATGGGAAGAACACCCGTGACACCACTAGGTCTGGATCCCAGGAGTGAGGGGCACCTTGTCGCCATGGCTACTCCGGGTAGCCTGGATACCCGTATTCTAGTTGACACCACCTGCTGCTGTTGCCCTGGACATTTCTCTTTCCCATGCAGGCCACAGGCCCCCATTTGGACAAAGGCCAGTCCATCTTGTAAGGCCCTCCAGCCGATACCACTCACTTGAGCCTTTTATGAGCTACCCTGAGGGAGGCAGTGACGAACCTGGGCCAAGCCCTAAATTCCAGGTGCCTTACTCCCAACTGTGGAGTCACGTCTGCCCCACAGACAGCATCAGATCGCCTGCATCGTGCTGCTGCAGGAGCTCCAGCCAGGCCCGCAGTTCAGCTGAGGGTGTCCTGCCTGCCAGGAATCCATGCGGGACAGCACAGGGAACAGGGAGATCAGGGCAGGGGCTCGGTGTGCTGGGCTCTGGCTGGAAGGCACAGCTAGTCCAACACGGCCTGTTGGGGCCTCCAAATCCAGGGAGCACCTGAGGCTGCCTGTTCTGCCTCTTTGGCAGCGTTGCTGACACTTACTGCTCTCTGATGATACGATCTGGGGACTTCCATGTGCTAATGGACAGGAAGCCAGGCCCAGGACAGCTGAATGGAGTCCAGTTGTCCGCGCCTGGCTGCAGCCCAGCTGCTCTCCCCTCCCTCCACCCTGCCCTCTCTCTCCTCCCTCAGCCACCAGTAGGTCAGGAAAGCAGTCAGGGGTCAGTGACCATCCCATGGGACCTTCTAGAACAGGGCATAATGTCCGAGGGAGGACTGAGGCTGACCACACTCAGTTTCTCCTCCCAGCCAGCTTTTGGCCCAAGGACAAGGTCTGGTTACTGATCTGTGAACATCGGCTCTCCAGGACCTGCCCTGGCCTGGCTGGCCTTCTGGCAAAGCCAACCGTTACAGCCACATCCTCTTAGTGTCCAGTGTTTCCTCTTTCTGTTTTGCCCCCAGGGTGGGGCTGTTCGTTCCAGGTTTTTGTCCTCATGGGCACAGAGCTTTGCTCCCCATCATGTCTTCAGGCTGGAGTAGGTCCCTTTGGGGATAATGCAGCAGGAGAAGGCCACCCGCTGGCTGCCTAGCGTTCTAAAGCCTGTGCCGCCTGCTGCTTGGGCCAACAATGAGCAGGCCACTGCCCCTCAGCCTCGTCGGTCCTCCAGCTGACCTGAACAGCAGTCCCTGTGGGAGCTGGGCGGTGCTAGTTTGCCTTTGGCTCCCCAGCCCTTGCTAGTTGTCCCCTCATTATCCATTAGCCCTGGCCCCTGTGACATGAATGTCCTGCCAGAGTGCAGCAAGCAAGACTTTGTTGGTTTGTATTTATAATTATTGTGCTGTTAGTTTGCTCTAAATAATGATGAAAATCTTCTCTTAGCAAAAGATGGTGGTGGTGATGATGGTGGTGGTGATGGTGATGATGGTGATGGTGGTGGTGGTGATGATGATGGTGGTGATGTGGCTGATGGTGGTGATGATGATGGTGGTGATGATGATGGTGGTGATGATGATGGTGGTGGTGGTGTTGACGATGGTGATGATGGTGATGGTGGTTGTGATGATGATGGTGGTGGTGGTAGTGATGATGGTAATAACAATGATGATAAGGTTAAAAATATAAAGCAGGTCATAGAAAAATACCATGCAAACTATGAAGCCCATACTGGTGTGTGACAATCATTCCAGTCAGGATATGTAAATGCTGGTGTAGCAAGGGGAGGGGGCGCCTCTGCTGTCAGAGTGCTAGCTCCTCCCTGCAGGACCATGATGGTTGGCTGGGTGACCTCCCTTGGGCTCCTTTCTCCAAACGTTCCTGCATCCTACTGACCCCTGCTGTCCTTAGGCCTCCATTTTCTTGTCAGAAAAAAATGAGATCAAGCCCACCCTCAGCCCCTCAGCTGTGTGCCATTGCTCTGCAATCATCTCGGTCAGAGCTCTGCCCTGCATATGCTGACTGACCCAGGAACGGAGGGAACAGACAGGGTGGTCGTCTGCCTGGGCTCACACAGCCAGTTGGGGAGCGCTCCCTGGCAGAGGCATGTCTTCATCTGTAAAATGGGTCAGGGCCGTGGGCCCAGTGGGGAGGGAGTTCACCCTCAGAGGACAGGTGATGCTAGGGATCTGATTCAGATGCCTGGGTGGCATGTTCAGCTGGGTGGCGGTGTATGACAATACATTTTACTTGCCCAAGCCTTGGTTTCCTTGCCTGTAAGTACAGCCACGCTTGGGTTGTCAAGACGGTGAAATGGGAGGCACTGGGAGAGGCATGGTGCCTGGTGGTCATCGGCTGCCCTCTTCCCCACAGCAGCCAGCTGCCTCCCTGCCCCATCCAGGAAACCCTTCCAAAGCCTCCTAAGCACCCATACTGCCCACATAGTATGAATAGGTCCTAGAAGGTGGAGACTTGCGGGGTCATCAGCCTGAAGGAACAGAGGCAAACTGGGAACGCAGCTCAGTGAGAGAGTGCTTGCTTGGTGTGCGGGAGGCTCTAGCTTCTATCCAGGGGTGGTGGTGTGGGTCTGTCACCTCCGCAGTTGGTTGGACCCAGCCCTCACAACTCACACGTCACTCCGCCCTCCTTCTCCCTCATCACAGAGAATAGCATCCCCCTTCGCATCCTCTACGAGAAGTACAGTGAGTGCCTGACGGAGTCAAACCTCATCAAGGTGCGGGGGCTCCTTGTTGAGCCAGCTTCCAACAGCTACCTGCTGGCTGAGAGAGACCTCTACCTGGAGAATCCTGAAATCAAGATCCGGGTAAGGAGCAGATGAGGCTCCAGGAAAGCCCAGGGCTGGGGAGGAGGCAGCCTGTGCCCACGCATACATCTACTGGAGTCTTTCTGTGCCTCAGGATCCCCGTGGAAGGAGAGTGTCACAGAGCTAATAGACTGCAGGACTCAAGCCCTCTGGGAAGGGCTCCTTAGAGCCTGGGGGTCGGGAGATTGTCGGGATCTAGGACCCGGGTATCCTTAAAAGACCAGTGCACCCACCTTGGTGATACTGCGGGGGCCAGGGAAGGGTGGCGAGCAGGGTGGCCCAGGCTTGTGCCTGGGTGACTCTGAAGATGCCAATTCACCTCTGAGCCCCAGTTCACTCCTCTGTGGGACTAGGTCAATGCTGGCACTTGGGGATGCTGTGAGAATTGACGTATGGCCACAGGAAGCAGCTAGGGCGTGCCCTTCACGTTTGGAGAGTTGGTGAAAGCCGACTGTGCCATCATGGTCATCTCCCCCCAGCCCTCTTCTGAGGTGCCCCTGAGCCCCAGATGCAGTTGCTCTAGAGTGCCTTGTAGTCACGGGCCTGGGTCAGCTAAGTGCTGCACGCCTTAGCTCACCTGTCCTGAAGAACTGGCAGCTTTCATAGGGCTCAGAGAGGGTCCCGATCTCCCCAATCTCACACAGCAGAGAAGGACAGGGTCAGTAAGCTCCAGTCCTGACCTGTCAGCTTCAGACCCCAGAACGAAGGAGACCCTTCATACACCCCCAGGGTCATGGGGAGCCTCAGTAAAGCTCCGTGAAAGAGACCTGGGCCATAGCCATCACCTGCATTTTGCAAACAGGAAACAGGCACCAAGATTTGTTCTGGGCGTGTCAGAACTGGGAGCAGCTTCATTTAGCAAACATTGGGACAAATTCTTAGGCATCCAGCCTGGCTCCCTGCCCTAGCCTTCATCTGCTCCCCTTCCAGGTCCTGGGGGAGCCCAAGCAGAACCGCAAGCTGGTGGCTGAGGTGTCCCTGAGAAACCCGCTCTCTGAACCCCTGTACGACTGCATGTTCACTGTGGAGGGGGCTGGCCTGACCAAGGAGCAGAAGTCTGTGGAAGTGTAAGTGCTGGGAACCCAGGTCTCAGGGAGGAGAAGGCTGGAGCCAGGAGACAAGGCCCTTGAACCTAACCCAGCCTGTAGCCCACTCCACTCACTCCTGCTCACCTGCATCCCCCCACCAAACCCCAAGCCAGAGTGCTGACAGGTACCCCCCTTTCAACTCTCACAGTGTGCTAACTGCAGCCATTCCCACACCAGCACACACCTGGCCAGAGTGAGACCCCTCAGTCACCGTGTGCTGCCTCCACGGAGTCCTCACGGAACTCGGATGCATGGGTGTGCCCTCGTCCATTCCTATCTACACACGCACGTGTAGGAACACATGCTGTTTTTCTTTTCCAGTGCCATGTAACTCACACAATCGAAACAAATCAAGTGCATGCATAAGCCACACGATGCCTTGTGTCTCCTGTAGCCACTGAGCATGTCCATGTTACCCCTACCCCACCACCTACTGCCAGCACACATGGGCACATCTACGCACCACATATGACTGCCCATCCACAAGCCATGTTCTTGCTCACACCTCTACATACTTGGGCACACACGAACATGTACACTTCCTGTCTCATACATACCCAGATTTGTGTACACACTCAAATGCGCGCGCACACACACACACACACACACACACACACACACACACACACACACACCACTCTAGGAGGCCCAGCTCTGCAGAGACCACCAGTGGGACCCACCATTAATACCGGCACTAGTCTTCTTTCGCTGAGGCCCTGGTCTAAGTCTTTGCGTGTCTTCACTGATGCCCCATGGCAGCCAGGCCTGACTCCTCACCCTCTTTCTTTCTTCAGCTCAGACCCCGTGCCAGCAGGGGAAGTGGTCAAAGCACGAGTCGACCTGTTCCCGACCGAAGTTGGCCTCCACAAGCTGGTGGTTAACTTCCAGTGTGACAAGCTGAAGTCTGTGAAGGGTTACCGGAACGTCATCATTGGCCCAGCCTAAAGGACCCCTTCACCCAGCTCCCCGTCACCCAGCTGCCAACCCTCAACTCAACCTGGTCTTTATCCCGAGATAATGAGCAACTTCACCCCTTCAGGCTGACAGGGCTCCCTGGGGGGCTCTTTGGAAGGAACTGTACTTCCGGTCCATCCTGCTCCTCTGGTCCAGTTCCCCATCTGTCTGTCCCCTTAGCTGTGAGGAGTGTTCTGTGCCAACACAGTGGGAACCCTGGCCTTGGCAGACCAGGGGAGGGAGAGAGCCATTGCCAGCACCCTGTATTGTTTGAACTGTCTCTAGAACCTCAGAGCATGCACAGAGGGATGGTAAACCCACTGGCTCAATGAAGGAACCCAGCTGCCCTGGCCATCGGTCTCCCACCCACCTCCCCACTGAAAGGGAATTACTATGTGCTAGGCACCTCAAGTTCTCACAGGGCCACCAGCCTGCTTAGTGTCCATGAGAAACTGCAGGGTGGAAACTGAGGCTGCCCATGCTGTGCTGTGCCAGTAGGCTGCCATCATTTGCAGGGCCAGTGGGTGAGCCTGGAAACAGAACCTGTGCCATCTGGCTTGGGCTCTAGTCCTCCATCTGTGACATCAGCCCTGACCTGAGAGAGTCAGCGAAGCCATATGGGACCAATCTGGAAGGGACACCGTTGGGTGAGGGGTTAAGGAAAGGACAGGGAGGCTAGGGAGCTGGCAGTCAGAGCCTAGGTCTGAGCTCCAAGGAGGGCCACACTTCGCCCTCCTCTTCTGGGCTTGATGTTCCTTCACCAGAGCAATGATTGACAAGTCCACCTCCAGAGCCTCTCGGCCCTATGCTTCTGAAGCCTGCCACCCAGGCCCACGGCACTCTGGAAAGGAGACAGCAACACCACGCCATCCTGCTTCTCACCTACGCCCGGGTCCCTCAGATGCAGTTCCAGGACTACCCGTAAGCTGCCTGCACAGTGCTTAGACTAGACTTCACAGGAGGAACCCTAACTGTCCACGCCGGTCACTTCCCACCAGGGCCACGCCCCCACCAGCCCTTCTTCCTCAGCAAGCACCCCCAGGCACATCACTTGTCTACAAAAAAAAAAAAAGCGTGGGAGCCTATGGGTCACTATCCCCAACTACCTCTCCATGGCTGGGCCCTCAAGCTGGAAGACCTCAGAAGTGGAGGGGTCCTCTGGGTGATGCGGCCAGAGGCTCTGAGACCCCCTGAAATCTCAGAGAAGAGCTTGGGAAGAATCACAACGATGCCTTTAACACGTTTCGCTTTACACAGAGAATTGCACCATGAGCCGTGTCTCTGCCCCATTTCCACACAGCTCCGCTTCCGGTTGCTTTGTGCAAGCTCCGGGTTCCAAGCAGGCAGTGGGCATGCTTTTGAAACACGTGTGAGCACTGAAATAAAGGTCTATTTTTCACATTCAAACAAGGCCTGCCCTTATCCTTTGGGGGCTTCTGAGGGAGGTGGGCGGAGAGGTTCACTCACACCTGTGCCCACTCCCGGCCTCCTCGCCCAAGCCTTAACCCGGCCTTACACTTTCCTGGCACTCAAGGCTCTACCCGCAAACCCCTCCCACTAGCAGAGCCAAGGACTTCCGGTGTCCCCCAGGGTCCTTCCTTCCTTCTTATTCACCTCTGAAGTTTTGCATGCTGTTCCCTGTGCCTGGAATACTCTTCCTTGTCTTTCCTCATCTACTTGGCTTAGCATGAAGGTCACCTTTGGTTGTGTGTTGGGGTAACAAACCATGATGTGGTGGTGCCCATCTATAATCCCAGTTCTAGGGATAAAATCCCAGTCCATTGGCTAAACAGTTTAGTCTCGTTGGTGAGTTCTAGGCTGGTTAGAGGCTATCTCAAAAACAAGATGAACAGTGCCTGAGAAATGACACCCGAGGATTGGCATTTGGTACACACAGACATGCGTGCTCGCACACAACACACAGACACACACATGCATGCACACCTACACAAGCATGCACACACACAAAATGCAAAAGTGCCAAGTCCCTGTGACCCCTGGATGCTGCATTCCTGTGCTGGTTAGGATGGCTTGGGTGTTGATTCAGTAAGTGCGCTCAAGACAGAAACAGGGCCAATGATACGACGACGGCTCAACAGGTTAAGGTCCCTACCACCAATCCCGATGACTGTACCCACGTGGTGGGAGGGGGGAACTGACTCCCGAAAGCTGCCTTCTGATCTCCACATGCGGATGCATACACACAAATAAATAAATGCCATAAGTAAATAAATGTAGCTGTCTTTTCCCTTGGAGAAGGCATTGAAGGCCTCACTGTGGAGGGATTACCACAGAGGCAGGCTGGTCTGGCTAATCCTCCTTCATGTTGCCTGCCAGCAGATCCTTACCAGAGACCAGCTGGCAAAGGGCTCTGGGAAACTCCCCTGGAAAGCAGAGGTGGTCAAGCAAGGGAGAAAGATGGGCTGGATGGAACCTTCTGTCTTGACTCTTCCCGTAAGCCCCACATGGAGGACTCTCACTGGGCTACGGAAACCCGGCCCCAAGGAGGCCACCTCTCCGAGGCCTTCCTAGGCTGTGTCAGATGCTTCTGCCTCTGCGCATCTTAGGCAGATGTTTATGCAGGTGGCAGGGTTGTGAACAGCCACTTCTGCACCTGCCTGTGTGCTGGGTGCTCTGGGGCAGGGACAGACTCACAGCATGAGGCTTCCGGAGAAGTCAAGGCCGTGAGCTCTGGCTCCCTGCCTGACTGCTGACCCCTGACACACGGAGGAGCCAAGCTGTACATAGCTCAACTGACTTGGGCCCCCTCTCTTGCTCCCCCAGCGGCCCCCCCCCATAAACACTTCTACTTATTGCTTGTTCCTTGTGATCCGAAAGTACAGACACAGTCGGGACCATGGCTCAGCTTGCCACACAAGCGTGAGGGCTTGAGTTTGGAGCCTTAGTGCACACATAGAAGCTGGGTGCATATCACCCAAGTTCACAACCCCAGCACTGGAGGATGAAGCTAAGCATGCAAGACAAGTGGGTCTTGGGGTCAGCCAGTCTAGCTAAATTGGTGATCTCTGGGCTCAATGAGAGACCCTGTCTCAAAAAATTAGCTGGTGAGCCATTGAGGAAGAAACCTGACATTGACCTCTGGCCCCCATGTACAAGTACACACACACACACACACACACACACACACACACACACACACACACACACCAGGTCCATTGCTTGTTTCATTAGAAGCCTAGAGAAATAGAGCTCTTTGTACAGGACAGACACGTGTTGGCTCCTGCTGTGGGTCTTCCACGGCAAGGCAGAATGTCTCAAATGTGTGTATGTGGCACACTCCCAAATCTCCCTCTGGGATGTTAGAAACCCTGGAGGTTGTGCCATTTCACCTATTCATAGATACAGAAATGGAGGGACAGAGAGGTTAAGCAATTTGCCCCAAGTCACACAGCTGGTAGGTTGCAAAACTGAGCCTTAGTCTACACAAGCAGCTATGCCCAGCACAGAGCATGGCACGAAGGCCTGTTCCTCCCAGCATTCTCCCTGCTCACCAGGGCCCAGGACTCCTGGGATGGAGGCCTGCATAATGCCTGGCAGCCCTCCGGGAGGGGGGTGGGTCGGGTCCGTCCTCCCACCCCAGGGGCCCCTTTCCTTTCCAGCTGCACTTGTTTGCCTAGGATGTCTGCCAGCTCACCCCTCAGCCTCCAGCCAAGCCTGGAATGACAGACCGCTGATAGAGTCCAAGAGAGGGGGTAGGGTGGGGCCAAGCCCGTGCCTCCTCCAAGCACATTTACCTTGGGGCTGGTGCAACAGGGAAACCCAGTCAACAAAGCCAGCGGTTGGAGGACGTGTGACCGGGACAAAGAAAAGATTTGTCCAGAAAGCCAACAGACCAAAGAAGATGGCAGTGTCTCCAGACATGACCACCGTGCCTGGGTTGCAGGCACGCACAGACAGGGCTGTGTGGGCACATCGGCTGGGGTGGGGTCGGCCTTTCTCCTAAGCTGTCCTTATCAGCAAGCCACTGGGTACTCTGGGTTCCGCAGGTCTAAAGAAAAGTTACTGATTAGGGAAGTGTGTGGCTGGAGCCTTTTTGGTTCCTCTCCTGACAAAGGTTCATTCTACAGTTAATTATTAGGCTCCAAAAGGTATGTTTTCTCTGGAAGACAAGGGAAAAGCCACTTTGGAAGCCACTGGGGGATGAAAAGACAAGCTATATACACCGCTATTATTGACAGCCAGGCCGGGGTGGGGGGATGTTATTTGGGGGTCTCCCCTGCTTCCTCCTGAGCAAAGGTCTGAGCAAGCACACGGCGACTAGCAACCCCACACAGCCCGAGGGTTCTGTGACAAGAGGAAAAAGAAATAGCCCAACGAAATGAGAAGCTGTGTCCAAAGGATGGCAAGTCTAGCCTCAAAGAACTGGGCTATATTCTCAGTGAGTGCTGAGAAAAATTTGCAGACACAAAACATCGCTCGGTGACTCCCTTCACATGAATCCACAGCCACCAGCCAGAGCAGCAGAGTCACAGGTCACAGACTCACCCAAGCCCTAGCAAGCAGAAAGGAGCTGGGATCTGGCTGGCCCACAGCTCTCTGAAGAATGGCCTAGAAAGGAGAGGAGAGGATATGGGGAGAGCAGGGAAGGGGCAGGCTTGTTTCCTGAACCCTGGAAATTGGAACTCCTGAGTTTATCCCCACATTGTTTCCCCATCAGCAGTCCCAGGGTCTGAGAAAGTCAGGGTCAGAGGACCAGGCGGTAAATATGGAGTTACTCTATGACCCAGAAATTCCACCTGCAGGTATTTATCCAAGAGAAATGAAAACATGCATGACACAGAAAGTTGTTCAATAATGTCCACAGTGGCATCATTCATAGCAGACAAAAAAAAGTGGAAGTAACCCAACCGTCCACTAACTTAATTAAGAGATAAATAAATATGATGTATATATCATGGAATATTACTTGGCAATGAAAAGGAATGAAGCCCTGAGACACGCTACAGTAAGGATGAAAACATCATGTAAGTGGGAAAAAAGAGAGAGAGAGAAATGAAAGCTCTTGGAATGTATGGTGCTACTTACAGAGAGCAGATGTAGTAGATGGGTGGCTGCCTGGGGCTTGAGGAACAGAGTTGGAACTAAAGCGGGTAACGGAAATGCTGTAAACTGTGCTGATAGATGCGGTTGTCTGAACTGAGGCCACTGAACTGTGTACTTTAATGGGTGACTTGCAAAGCATGTGGATTCTACCTCAGTAAAGCTGTCTAGATAATTAATATGAGCAGAGGGAGGCAGAATGCTGAGCTCAGAGTGGAGGCCTGGGTTCAGTCTCAGGATTCTGCCCGGGCATGATCAGTGAAAATCTACCCCTCTTCCCTGGGTCTCGGCTGTTGCTGCTGCGAGATGAGGGAGGAGAAAGGGGGCAGTGCCATCAATTTGGGAGCCTGTTACATTTTTCATGACAGCTGTCCGGGATTACGTGCACTCCAGCCCACCAGGTAAAGTCAGAGGGCTCCTCGGGGCCTTGGTAAACATCTAATCATTCACCACTGCGTTCACTCTGGCCATTGCAGGTCACCCTGGACCTACACCCTTCACACTTCACAAATGGCCAAAGAGCCGCCTCTAGACAGCATTCTCAGCCGCTGCCCTAGGTCAAGAAGTGTTCAACAGTGTAGTACATGCCTGTAATGCCAGCACTGAGGCTATAACAGGAGGATTATGAGTTTGAGGCCAGCCTAGGCTACATGGTGAGGCTAGCCTGGGCTACATGGTGAGGCCCTGTCTCTGAAAAAGAAAGTGAAGACAACCAGAGGCAAGAGCAGAGAGTCTAGCTTCGTCAGTTCAACATCCACTCCTCTGGGATAGATGACAGACAGACAAGGGGAAATGTGTGCTAGGTCAGCCAGAGCAGTGATTTGCCTTCATTTGCTAAGATTCCTTTTTTGTTTTGTTTTGTTTTTTTAAATGGTAGGGAAATTGAGACATGGGTGGAATCAGGGCATTCTCATGCAAAGAATAAGGACAAAAGCTGAACCTACTGTTTCTACTCTTCTTGGAAGAGCTGAGTGGCCCCACATAGCCAGCTGGCAGAGTTCCCCAGAAGGGATGGTAGTGGCCCTGGGACCCAGGGTGAGATGGCCCCACCGAGGAGTTTTGGGTGGTTAATGCCCCATCTTCCAGCACTTTCTTGCTGTATGACTATGAGGAAGTAAGTTGCCCTCTCTGGGCCTCTGTTATAATGGAGCACCTAAACACTGCTTGTTACCCAACCTTGGACTGAGATTACAGAAGGGGGGGACGACACGGGGGACCTTACAAACCACAGAGGGCCAAGGACCCAGAGGGCAGCAGGAATTCTGGCTACAAGACACACAGGGTGGGGTCGGAGCAGATGGCAGGGGCAGGTCTCCTCTGTTTAATCAGCTCCCACAACAGGGAAT